AATTTCTTTCTGAAGAAAGCAACCTCAGCAGAAGGTCACCTGTAACTAGGAAAGCCAGCTAGAATTTAAGAAAGATAGCTGAGGAGGAAAAAACAACTCTAACTAAAATTCTACAGTTCTAAGTCAAGGATGCCCTATCCAGGGTCCATGTCCATCCCATATGGCTGTACAGGTTTTGCTTAAGGGCACTCAGCTGAGGAGAGTATCTGTGAAACTGAAATCTAGGTTTGTCTATTCTCCAAGCTGTGCGCCCGGCATGGGCTTCACCTGCCTCGCAGCAAAGGCACCTTCTGATTTGCCCACAGGTACCATCTACTAGCCAAGGTATGTGGGGTTTTATCTTCTCAAAGGAGGTGAATTACTCTAATTTCCAGAAACACGTCCCTTCTGAGACCTGTAGTGGCTTCAAGAACCGTTCCCCCATCAGTCATGAAGTAGTCAAAAATTTACTTCTGTGCTGGTTTCGAGAATGTATTATATAAAAAAGAACATTTATGTCTAGTATACATGTCCATGATAAGTCTGGCTGATATCACATTTTAAAAATGATCAAGCCACACTATTTACTTACTTTGCCCCCAGATGTATTTGCACTGTCTATCCCTGGTTTTACATCTTCCTCCAAAGCAAATTCCCTAAAATGGAAAACCAAATACCCATTATCGATGCAATGTCTGCTTATGTCAGATAACTGAAAAAGAAATATGATTGGGTAAAATAATAGACCAATATTACAAAGGCCTTTAATCTGCAGAACTGATTACAGAACATTTAAAGTGACCTTCCTATTTTGGTAAAATTTCAGTATTTCTTTCATGCTAGTACACATGAAAAATTTAGGTAAAAATGAAGTGACCTACCTGAACACCATCACATGCATATCCATCCATTTTATGAATATTAGGGGCACACTAGGGAAAGAGAACAAACTATGAACCAAACACAGAGCGAAATATCAGGCTGAGCTAATCCCTTCCATGCTTTCGTTTTTAAGATCACTTCTGGTAGTATGGCTAGTCCCTTAAACAATTTAAAAACAAAAACAAAGATCAAGAGAAAGCAAGAGGAACTACAACAATTGGTGCACTTTTACCTAAAAATGAGGCAAAAACAGTTGATTACATAGCAGCAAATAAAAAGAACTGACTGCAATAGACTCAGCTAATGGTTCAATTAAGAGCATCTTGTTTCATACAGATACACCATTCTTTGGAGCAAGGAAAAGAGCACAAAACTAAAGCAGAGAGTATGTCCACAGAGGTGGACAATAACTAGTTTTCTCTCTTTTGCCATAAAAAGCAACACAGCCCTTATGCTTAAAATAATGATGCTCAAGCAAAAGTCTACTTTGAGAATGTTAGAAAAGGACATGCTTTATAACCCCATTTTTTCCCTTGCAGCAATTACAGAAAGTTACAAAGCATTCTTGTTTCTAAACAGACAGTAATTTGCAAATTTATTACACATCTTTTTCTATCATTATGGTAATTATATAGTCATTTGAGAAAAGTTGGGAACTGTGAAAAATAGAAAAAAAATGAAAGACAGAAGTCATTCATATTCCCACCATCCAAAAGCAGCTATTTTTTATATTTTGGTATTTTTCTCTCCACATTTTTCTGTAAAAATTGGTATTTTTGAACACAAGTATGATCAAATTATAGATAATATTTTATATTCTGCTTCTTCCTTTTATTGTCAGCATTCAAATTCCTCATAATTTTTTGTAGTACCATTTTAAATGGCTGTCACACAATGCATTGAGCTAACAATGTACTAAACAATCACTTTAATCTCTATTAATAATTTATGCTGCTATAACTAATGCAATAAGAGTATTAGTAGATGTGCACACACATCATCTTTGGATTCAGAACTGTTTTAAAATTCCTGCTTATTTATAATCACATTCCAAAGAAGTTGCTCTCAACACTTTCTGCCTAGAAGCCTTAGAGGTAGTCATTCATTGAATCCTCATCATCACTAGGTGTTTGCTTAGAAAACAAAGCCACTTAGATAACAAGAAAGGAAAAATATTTTAACAAGAAAGATCTTTAACCTCTTAGGATGACTAAATTTCAAAATAAAGCATTTTTAATGGTCGATGGAGGTATACCACTGTTGAATCCCTCTTCCCTGAAGAAAAAAATATGTAGGCAGTCCTCACTTTGCACCCTTTTCTGGTATGCATGAATTTCAGTTTCCACGGTTTTGTTAAAAAATCATCAGTCCCCCAACAACACAGTTCCAATTTCAGTTACCACAGTTATTAACTGAGAGTAACTGCATAAAGCACAGCTTTGCTACTAGCTCTTCGGTCAACTGATCCCTAGGCAAACAACAGATGCCCGTCATGGTCAATGACACATCTTGTCACTTCTTTCAAAGTCAGTGAGTGGTCACTGCCCATTTGTTTATCCAATTCACACACAGACAGCAAACTGCAGCTGTGTTGCCTTTTTGTCTTCCAGTGACACCATGTGACATTCTACAAAAATGGATAAGCAGAAGAGGGAACTGGCCAACATAGATGGAAGTGCAGCAAAGAAATGAAAAATGATGACACCAGAAGTGAAATTCGATTTGGACATAAACGGAGTTATAGAAAACATAGCTGGCTGTGGGAACGCTGACACTGTTGTTCAAGAGACTCTACATATGCAGACAGAGGAACTTAGTGAAGCAGACTTATTGACAAAAATGAATCAAGTAGTTGTGATATAATATAAGTGAAGATGTCCCAGAGGAGGGGATGCCGGCAAGAAATTTCACATTCACATCTTCACATCTCTCAGAGATACTGAATGACTTTGAAAGCACAGAGGATAAAAAATGTTGAAAGCTGACCCAAACTTAGAAAGGAGTGTAACAATTCAACAAGGCATAGAAAAGATGTTTGCTCTGTATCATAAGGTTTACAACAAGAAGGCAAGCACAGTTCAAACTACTGATAAGTTTTTTACAAAAAATAAAATATTTCAATTCTCAATGTTTTGGTTTTAATTTATAGTATGCTAAATAAATATTAGTTTATGCTTTTCCTATGCATTTAAAACTAACAGTAAGAGAGCTTTTAATAGTTTGACAGCATTTTTTTGAAGATACAGAACAACTGCAATATTTTTCTTTGATTATTAAGACCCCTTTGCATGCTTTTAGGTTGCATGGTCATTTTTATAGTTTATCATTACCATGCAAAGTGAGGACTGCCTGTATGTACACTGATCCTTTAGAAATCTATCAACACTAACCAAAGTTTATCCAATTTCCCTAGCTTTTCTACCTACAACTAAATGCTGTTAAATTCAACAGGAGCCATTAACAGCTAAGGTGGTGCAAGCAAGCGTCAAGAAAGAGAAAAGGTTCCCCTCTCTTCAACCAGCTGAAGAGAAGGAGTCTGTGTTTCTTCCTTCACTAAGCAGATGAAAAGAAAAACACGTTATACTCTCCACCTAAAAACAAAATAGTTAAAGGCATGCATGCAGTCTTAGGTTGGTTCAACATTAAGACAAAAGGATGCTGATTATTGAAACTTAAATTCTTAAAAAATAAAAAGAGAGAAGTGATGTGAAAGAGAGACATGAGTAGTTTGTCCATTTACATGGCTCCTGGCAGTCAGTGCACTATCGTTAGTGCACTATCCCCCCTAGTTTTTCCCACGGGATTGAGAGTAATTATTTTATAAATTACCTGGCTTGAATTTCCTGAACATGTTTCACGAATATCACAATCATTTACTGCTTCTCGGCACACAGTGCCCATAGGCTGAAACTAAAATGAAAAAAATCAATGTTTAAAACTGCAAAACAGGGGGAAAAAACCCTTACAATATCATCTAAAAAAACCAAAATGAAAATTGTTTGGCTATAAATACCTTAAAAACTATTTTAAGATGGTAGTCTGCGAAAACCACGGTTACTGAATAAATGTTATTTTAATAATTGTAAGAGAGAGTTTCTTGTTCATGAAGTACATTCCCTAGTCATCACACACAAGCCTTAGGGCATCCTGCAAAATCAGCTAGAGCTTGATGGTGCATCTCCACAAGAAGGACAAACTAGTCCAAGTTCTACCAATGGTAATGCTTCCTTGCAAGTAGCTTTCGGATTTACAGTTTCTCTTCATTTTTACTGACACCTTTATCACATTATTACTCATTTTTTGCCTTATCTGCCAAGAATTTGAAAGTTACATTTTGGGCTGAATCACATACAAAAAAAGTTAGATTTTCTGGCAAAGCTATTTTCTCCCATGCTTTCCCTTCCTTTCTTCTGCCTCATTTTCAGATAGACTTAAATCTTGGTCTTTTATTCTTTTCTAATGTTTCTATTATTTATGCTGTATAGGAGGGTTTTTATTTTTTCTTTTTTCAACTACCTCAAATACTTCTAAATGTGGGAGTTGTACAAATTCATTTTTAATCTCATTAGATTTATAAATTGCAAGAGTGCTCATAACAATACGGAACAGAGATTCATAGTTATTGTACTTCCCCCTCCCTCTCCAACATTTGGAGCTGGACCCTTCTATGTTTGTGTTTCTGCTCACACAAATGTACATATTATTCAGTTTCCTCGGTTTTCTGTATAAACTTCATCTTCTCTCCCTGCTCAGAAGCCTCCAGTCATTTGAGTTTCCTGCTGTTCCTAGAACATGCACAGCTCACTGCCAACTCCAATAAGGATTTCAATGGACTTTTTTTTTTTTTTTTTTTTAGGATATCTGAACAAAATCTGTGTTCATTCGCCCATATATCAAGAACTTACAAAGCACTGACATTGTGCCAAGCACTGTTCTAGCCACTGGGAAAACAATGGAGAACAAGACAAGAACCTTGTCACAAGGAACTTGCATCTTAATGGGGGTAAATTAACCATAAAAATAAGAAAATAAGCAAGACCATTTAATTTTATGTGTTCTCATTCTCTTCTTCCTTGGGATTGGGGCAAGCCACAATTTTAGAACATCTAGGGTAGAAATATGAGCGGATTTGGGGTAGAGTTTAGAGGAGAGCATAAATGTTCAAGAATGTACAGGAAACTACTGAAAGAAAACATAATGAGGGAGGACTTGCTCCAAGTGCTGGGATACAACAGTACATAAATAGATCAAAATCCTGGCCCTAGTGGAATTTACATTATAATGGGAGGAGAAAAATAAACAAATAAACAGGTACTATTTTACAACAGGCATGATAAATTACAGCCTGATGGCCAAATCTGGCTGGCTGCCTATTTTTATAAATAAAGTTTTATTGGAACACAGCCGTGCACATTTGTTTCTGTATTTTTAATGGCTGCTTTCAAAGGCAGAGCTGAGTGTGACAGAGACTTTATGATCCACAAAACCTAAACTGGCCCTTTACAGAAAAAGTTTGCCAACCCCTGGCTTATAGACATATTATAATAAATATATGTAGAAAAAAATAGAGATACACATGAGTTCTAATCTTGTTCTTCTATTCCCTCCCCTCCATTCACTGTCCTGATGCTGGCTCTCCTAGGAGTCCAGGGTGGTAGTGAGATTTGGGGATGCGTGGTAGAGAACGTGGCAAAAAAGATCTTACTTGACTGGGACAGTTGTAACTTATTTTATAGGATAGCAGTTAATCATGCCATTTTATTTTATGTATTTTAGTTGTATTATTTTATATTTGTTCCTTGAAATGATTATATCTCAGGGAGTCTCATTCTATAAATAAAAGGAAAAAAGGTGTCATTCAATGCATTTTATAGATGGGCAGACTTAAAACATCGGGGACTAAGACAAATGATTCACCATCCCTTGATGTGGCAGTGGGAGAAGCTGACAGAATAAACAGTTGTGGTAGCCAAAATGAAAAAATGTCTATTTCACATTTAGTTTAATCTTCCCTTTTAGAAAGTGCTTTCAGAGATTTCTGCCAGTGTCTGCTTGTCTTAAAAGCTGCCAGGAGACACAGTGGTAGAATGGAAACAACAGAAATGGCTGCCAGCAGATCTGGGGTATAATTGCACATCTATTCGTCATAAGCGGAGTGAGCTTGCACAGGTTATTTCACTTCCTTGAGACTGGGATATTGCTTAATTGTAAAAATTAGGATAATAATGTCCATTCAAAAGTGCGCTTATGGGAACGGTTAAGACAGTAGTCTCAACCAAGGGTGATTTTGCCCCTAATGGGACATTTGGCAATGTCTGGAGACATTTTGGTTGTCACGACTAGGCAGGGTGCTGCTAGTATCTAATAGGTAAAATCCAGGAATGCTGCAAATATTCTACAATGCACAAGACACCCTCACAACAAAGAAATATTCAGCCAAAAATGTCAACAGTGCCAGGATTGAGAAATTCAGATGTAAGATGATATAAATTCAGATGTAAGATGATATAAATTAGCATAATCTCTGGCACACGGTACTTTTACTATGATAGTTTCCTACCCAACCCTCCTTTAACTCATTAGACTAAAGTTACTCAATCAGAAAATCATCATTAAGAGAGTGCCATACATACTTATTCATTCATTCAACAAATATTTACTGAGAACCCATACCAATTACTGTGTAGGTACCTAGCTCTGCTCCATGGAATGTATGGACTGGAGGAAGAGACAGATATTAAGCCTTAGAAATAACGTAGAATATTATACCAGATTTTATATGAGAAGAGAAAAAAAGAATTGGATTTCTTTAGGGAAGGTAATTCCCAAATAATTATTAGTCTTGATGTGAAGTCTTAAATATTTGGGGACAGGTTATGAGGATGCTGGTTGGGAGAATGAAAACAGATAAAGTGTGTAAAGATGCATTCTAAAATTTTCATGCACAATCATGTAATCAAGGTATTATCATGTCTAAAAGTATTCTCTTGATCCTTTAACAGCTAATGCAAGAGATATATTAAGCTGAGCAAGAAGAAAAGGATCTATTGAATATCCGCTTGGCTTTACCAAGAGAATTAAATATCAAAGATTAATAACACCTGGTTTCATTTAACTTGCAAGCTCCTCAGGGAGGTAATATGGAGAGGACAGCCTCCCAGGATTCACAGGGTTCAGGCCCTAGCTTCCTGACTCACCTGGTGTAAGACCTTGGGCAAACTACTTAACCACTACGAGCCTCAGTGTTCTCATCCGTTAGATGGAAATAATAATAGCAACTATACTTCACAAGCTTGAGTGAGGATCCTATAAAGTACCTGGCACTTAGTCTTTTAACATGTGTTAGATACTATTTTTATTATTAGGCTTAACGATTTAATCTGATATGTCCTTTTTTCTGTCAAATGGTCATTAATCAACATTTATTTACCTTGCATTTTTTACAGCAAAGACCATCGCTGCATTGAGAGTCTTGAGTCAAGGTGCATTTCTTACAACACTCCGCTCCTTCAAGGACACATTCCTAAGGAATATAAACATTTGCAAAACAGCAGTAAATGGTGTCATTTTCCTGAAAGTACCAGCATATTTTCTTAAATAAATACACAAATTCACAATAATAATCTTTCTTCCATAATCCTATAAAATTTCCAGCATGACACTCTGTCTCAGTGTGTGGAAATGGAGTGACCCTGAATTACCTAAAAACCATCATCAAACGACCAGACACTTACAGCAGGGGTCCCACAGTCACACTCCTCTCCAGTTTCAATGAAGCCATTGCCACACTCAGGAGGATCAAGAAGCTGTGGAAAGAAAAACAAAAAGGGAAATAAAATATCGAAAAATCAGTATCAAAGACTGTGGGAGGCCGTAAGTGCCACACCTATACACACTTGTCATACCGGCTAGTCACTCCAAAATATATTTTTATTTTCCTAAACTAGAAAGCATGACTTTAGAACCTAGAACTTCAGAAGAAAAGTGTCTACATCTGTTTCCATTTTGTATTTAATATACATAGTATATAGCTTCACATACATATTTATATAAATATATAATATACATACCAGGTAGGGTCTGGTAAATGTCACCAAATAAAAGATGATCTAGCTATTGCCCAAAACCAAGCCAGATTGACTCCTAAAATTTCATTTCAAACAGTAGGAAAGAGATTTGGAGTCAGAATGTCTAGATTAAAATCTTGGCTCAACTATTTATCTTGGGAAAACTACTTATTATCCCAGAGATTTTAATATCTAAAACAGGAATAATAATATTAGCTATCCGTCCACATCAAAAAATTGTTGTGAGGATCAAGTTTAATCATCTGTGAAAAGCCCTTTATTAACTATATCTCCTTTTGAAACAGAAAGTTACTTCATAGACAATGAGGAAAGCACCACAAAAACTAATATATCCATTGATCTATTTAATATAAAATATAGCTCCTCCTATTAACATAGCTTTGCAGAGAGCAGCAACAATAATTTGTCCCAGAGATCAAAGCTATTTTTGGCCTGTCCAAGAGCACATTTTAGGTCTGTTTTATTTTTTAACTCTCCATCAATTTTATCTTTTGAGTATACTTTATTCTATGGTGATTGGCAAAATTAGTAAACAGTAAATAATTGCTATGTGCCAGATATATAATATTCACTCGAAAGTTAATCAAAGTTGACATATTATAGACTGGAAGTGTACAAATACCTGTAAATAGACACACATACACACACACACTCTCTCCCTCTTTCTGTCTCATAACTAACTAGAGGGGGGGAAAAAAATGAAATAAACAAATAAAAAACCTCCACCAGATTTCAAATATTCTCTCCTCTCATACAAAAGAGTTAATTGTTCTCTGTATTTGATTTTCAGTTGAAAATATAATAGCAAATGAAAAAAGCCAGAATGGAAACTTATCCAGATGAAATACAAATTTATTCTCTTACTTTGGGTTTAGAATAATCAATTATTTTGGTAAAAAGACTTGTATTGTTATTATGGCAGCAGTGATTTAGTTCAAATACCTCTTCCAAAGCTTTTGCGGAGATTTAAAATTGTCAATTTGCTTTTCAATGCAATATGATCCATTTCCTGAATTTCACTGGAGTGAACAGAGAATGAAACCAGGTAAAATTACAAAGGCAATGCCACATATCACTGTGGTGCACAGAAGCATTTCATAGTTCACATAACTAACATGGACAAAGCATTCTTTAACATGCAAAGGCTTCGAAATGCAGGAGGAAGACCTGCTTTCTAGTCGGTAACCAGAGGATGCTCTGCAAGTTGTAAAAAGCCTCTGACAAAGTCCAAGTACAGAAAGATTTTCTCCTTTTCTGCTTTAAGAAGGCTTGCTTTTCAAAGTGAGAAGCTTCTATAATTTTAATCACACTGCTCATTCTGAAAGGCAGGGGAAGGGAGTGATGAAGGGAGATATGACCCCTTTCTCCCTATATGAGTTGTGATGAGGTATCGAAAGGGAAAAAAAGCATCAAGAAAATAAAAAAGAAAGGTAAAATAAAACCATTTTTGTATGCTCACTCAGACCCACCATTTTGCCATATTAAAAAAAAAATAAAAAATGGAAACTTTTTGGACAGAAACACTGTTATTTCTACTTGTTGTCTACCCCCATCAAAACAGCCCCAAATGCCTAACATTAAAGCTGACTTTGAAAATGCAGATATTTAGCTTATTTAGATACATATAGGCCAAGTTGAAAAGTTCTCTAAGATTCAATGGCTTGAAATTTGATAATTAATTACTCTTGATCACACTTATTACCTTAGAAGGTTTGTTGAAAAGGCAGGCGCCACCTCCACTATTCAGGAAGTCATGATACTCTTCAATATTACACTGAGTGAACTTTTTAGGAAGATAATAGCTATAAGACAAGAAAATCAATAGCTGGGTAAAACTTGTCTCCCTTGTTTGTGGATTAGTCTTAAAATTGAACTTTGTTAAAATTGTATATTATTCTTTAAAATGAAAGAATTCTACTCATGTACAACATTTATATTCAATCCATATGAGTTTTATTCAATCAGTGTGTTTCTAAATTCTTGATTTGGTGACTAATAGTGACTATGGGATGTTCATTATTTGCATATGCATTCAGAGGAAACACACATGTATAGTACCTGTAATTTTTTAATCAAGGAGAGTCAGGAAAAATTTATTTCATAATGGGTCATTCCTAAATATTAAAACTGGGCTAGAATCCAAACTGCAGAGCATTCTATGAAATAACTGACCTATAATCTATAAATGTGTTAGGTCGTGAAAGTCATAGAAAGACTGAGGAACTGTTTAGACTGAAGGAGGCTAAAGAAACATAAAAATGAAATGTGATGCCTGATTTGAACCTTTTGCTATAAATGACATTATTGAAACACAGGGACAATCTCAAATGAAGGCTAAGAATCAGATGATTTTACTGTTTCTATGGTGGTTATGTAGAAGGATATACTTGTTTCTAGAAAATGCACACTAAAGTGTTTAGGAATGATAGGGCACCAAGTTAGCAATTTATGATTCATGGGACAAAAGATTCTTTGCTATTAACCTTGCAACTTTTCTTCAAGTTTGAGATTATTAAAAAAAAAAATGTATGCCAAAAAAGTCATAAAAGGTCAAAAGAAAAAAGGAACTTGGTTAGAGAACAATTTGGCGATATGCATTAAGAACCTTCAACGTGAGCACACTCTTAGATCTAGTGCTTCTACTTGTAGAAATTTTTCTTGAGGAAATAATTAGCTATGTGCACAAAAATGTATAAACAAAAATAATTAGGATAGCATAATTTTATAATAGCAATAATAAGAAAATAACCTAAATGTTCAGTAGTGAGAGAACTGTTAACTATTAATAATACCATGTAATTATTAATAATCATAGTGTCGAAGAATAGACTCTAAAATGCTGACTATATATAGTGTTAAGTAAAAAAATGAATAAATATTCAATGGGAACCAAATTTTGTAAAACAATAATAAAATGGAAAGAGAAAAAATACTGGCATAAATACAGCGGTATTATATACTACCTACCTATCATGGCAGAAAAGAAGCAATAAAAATTTTTTCTATATCTTTCAAAAATTGTTTTACATTGAACTTTGATAAAATGGAAAAAACAATGAAAATAATAATGAATAGTTGTTATAAAGTCTCTCCCACTAGCCTGCAAAGACTGTATCAATCTATATTCCCACTTCTTTCTCACACAGTAGTTAATACTTCCTGAATCAGTTACTGGAATTTATGATGATGATTTATCCTAAACTCATTTTTGAAGCACTTCATGTCAAACTCTCCTTGTAAAGCTAATGTGGGTTTAAGTTGCCTAAACTACTTTACTTCCTTCACTTCCTTTTCCTAAACAGGAAATAAACTTTATTTGAAAAGTTTCTTACATATATTACTTCTGTTTTTCTTTCCAGTACCTACATCCCACCCAATGTCTTAATCACCTTCCCCTCTAATCCATCCTACATATCTCCGCCGGAGTTATTGAATTTCAACTGGGCTTTCTTCAAGTTCCCTTTTTATTACTGGTCAAAATCTGAGATGGTTCCCTGCTGCCAAAGTAAAAAGTCACTAACTCTTAGTGTAGAACCCTTAGGAGTCAAAGTCTCCTCTGACCTCCTACAAAGGCACCCCCACCATCACCACCACCACCACCGGCACCCTCAGGGGTCACAGCCTCGCCCAGCCTCCTGCTCACAACACAGGTGGAAGGAACTCAGCCTGCACTCCAACACTTGGCAGTGACAGTAAACTCACTCCCCCACTGGTAAGCTCTTTTTGTATATAAACAATTGAAATTTGTGGATTGCTCTTTCCTTTATTTTGCCACATCTGATTTCCTGCAACTTCTACACACAGTTGTGTTCTTAACTGTATCAAATAAGCCTTATTCCTCTACCTTAACATAGCCCTTATCATGTCTCTCTCCTGCTTCAGCCCCCACAACTTCTGCTTTGTGGAGTAGCACATCTATTGTATTCAGTTAAAAAATCTTAGTTTTTGTATCTTTAAATAGGACTGAAGGCATTAATTTCAACCACGCTTTCCAACATTTGGCAGTAGAGAGAACTTCAGAAAACAGAAATGGGAAGGAATGTACCCATGGAAACATATGTCCATAATTAGTTCTATTAGGTGATATTTGGCATAGATCAAAAAATGTTATATCAAAAAATGTTTTATATAAAGTGCCTTTCTCTCACATGCATCTATTTAATGTAGGAAGAGTTCCAATGGACACAGCTATACCTATGTAAGGGTAGCCATCTGATTTCTCTATATATTATGCTTAGTGCTATGAAGATTGTCTATAAAAAATGTAATAATCAGAATAATCAAATATAGTAAATAGCTATCAAAAGAAATTTAGTAATTATTGGAAAATTATAAGTATAGAACAAGAACGTTTATTATTTTCTCTTATTACTGAAGAGAAAGTCCAAGGATATTTTGAAAAATATTTTAAATACATATTTGCATATACATTTCCTCTATCACTTATTTTCCTTGTTATACTATATCCTGTGAGTTCAAAATTCAAATACAATCAATAAACATTTATTGAAAATCAAATGTGTAGAAAGGATTATGATGTGAGGTCTACAATCAAGTTAGTATAATATGTAATGCCTCAAAAATGTACACGTATTTCATGAGAGGAAGCATAAGTATTAATACCTATAGAATAAAATTATAATGCAGGGGTTAAAAATTATAAAAATCTCAGATGGTTAGAAATACGGTTAGAGGAAAACGGGAAAGACATTCCAGATGAAGAGAATATACTGGGGAAATCAAAAGAAGTTGAAAATTTATGTACAATTATAATGAGCAAATTTTTAAGAAACTGGAAATCTATGTAGGATTATGGTTAGCAAACCAAGAAAGGTAGAAACTCATGTACGATTATGGTAAACTAGAATAGTAGGGGAAAACAAGATTGCAAATTGGGATGAAGAAAGGTTATGGACATATAAATACTGGAGTAAGGAATTTGAACCTTATTCTTTAGACAGTGGAGACGCAAAAGTTCTGAGCAAGCAAATGGCATTTAATGAATAAGAGCTACATATTAACAGAGGGATAAATCTCACAGACATCATGTTGATCAAAAAAAGCAAACCACAGAAGACTATATACTTGATTATGCCTTTCAAATAAATTGAAATCATGCAAAGCAATACTGTGTTTTACTCCAACACACAAATATATAAATAGTAAATATATAAAGAAAGACCTGTGAATTTGAACCAAACTGAAGATAGTGGTTACCTTGGCTGGGGATCAATAAGGGAGAACACAACGGAGATTTAACCAGGTAGGCAGTATTTTAATTTTTACAAGCTAGATAATAGGAAATAGCTGGAACACTTATATATAAGTGCTTGCTGTTTTATTCTTTATACTTCTGTAATGATGGTGGAAGTGGGGCTCAGGGAGAGAGAGCGAGCGTGCAAGGTGCCTGAGTATTTGGAATGTTACGGAAATAACAACAGCACAAGATGATCAAAGGTTACAGTAGGGCAGTAGTGAGAAGCTAGGAATAAAAGGATTGATTATAAAATTTATTTAGACAAAACAAAAAGACAAGAATTGATGTCTCACTGTGTGTGAAGGATAGGATGGTATGAAAATGTAAATTGTTCTCAAGAGAGCAGGTTGTACACTGCTCTTCCCAACGCCTTTTTCAGTGATACCACATTGTGAAGCCACCAGCAATGGCGTGAAATCAGCCACTGTGGGAGTATTTACACCGTGGAAATCTGAGAAAGCCACAAATCCAGGCTGTTTTCTTATTTTTGTTTTTGAGAGTCAACTTACCAGCACACTACTGTTTATAACCCATTTAATTAGAATTGAAGGAGATAAAAGGAAAGAGAATTAGTAGGTATGCCATCAAAAACAAAGCTGTTCCTCATTTTTTATATTTCTAGGCTAGATTCAAGGCTAAGAAAAATCTCTGAGGTCTACTAATTGACATCAACCATTTTCATAAATAAAAGGCTATTTTTGTGAAAATATTTTATACACAGGGCCATTAAGAATATTTACTTCTGATTTTCTCATAAATGCCTGCGGTGAGGTTCCACGCACTAAGTTACCGAGTGTCATATTCCTAAGACAACAGCACAGCAGGGAAAGGAAGAGGGACTTATTTTCAAACAAAGTGGCTCACCCAGTGTCTCCCATTATGCATCCAGACCACGTGTCCTCACATTTACACTCACCTAAGAGAACACGAATACACACGCCTCGTTATAAGGTGAACACAGCCACATTAGTTTCTATTTTCAAAATACTATCTTTACCTTGTTCCTTAAATACCTTTTAAAAACTAATACCTGCTTTCTAATTCTTCTTACACTAGCAGTTTTTTATGCAATGTATAACAAAAATATACTTTGAACCTATCAAGATTATATAATTTTTACTGAAAAAAAAAGTCTTCTGATATTTTAACAAATGGCCATATTTAAACCACTTAAAATGACTTAAATGAAAGACAACTAACTACCAATGAAATAGTGAAGAATTTTATGGCACAATTATAAGAACCCAGTTACACAGGCCTTCATGGGAATTATTAAAGTTTTTTGTCCATTTTTAAAAGCCTCTGCACCAAGGCTTCTGGCAGAAGGCAGTATGGTATTTTGGTTAAGCAGAAGGGCTTCAGAATCTGAAATATTTGGGTTCAAAACCTGGGCTTGCCACTGAATATGTGTATAATCTTAGAGACATTATCCTTTTAAGATCTAGTCACTTCGTCTGTAAAATGAGACTAAAAATAAGTATCTTGTAGAATTATCTTGAGAATTAAATGAGTACCTAGATGTACTAATACTGGCATTCAATCATCTGGCATATAATGGGTACTCTATAAATAGCAAAAGTATTATTTTAAAAATCATGTTTATAATATTACTAAAAGAATGAAATAAATATGTTCATAAACAAATTTTTACTCTAAATAGATAGTTATTTGACCATTCATGATGAAGTAAACTTTATTTACTTGGAAAAAGATATTCTTCCCAGATGCTAAACTTTGAATATTTTACTAAGCTTTTTATCAGGTCTGATCCTGACCGGGAAGTTCTACTTCTGTGGCCATACTTAGAAATGTTTTAAATAAACCACAATAAAACAGTATGCCTGAAACCTATATGCCCAGGATTCTCTACTAGACCATTTAAAATCACCAAACTGAGCTTATTTTGCCCCTTTTTAGGTTAAATTCAACGATGAATTTATTATTACATAGATTTTGTTGTTGTTTTGTTTCATTTTGTTTTTCTTCTTTTGAGACAGGGTCTCACTCTGTTGTCCAGGCTAGAGCTCAGAGGCATCATCATAGCTCACTGCAACCTCAAACTCCAGGGCTCAAGCAGTCTTCCTGTCTCAGCCTTCCAAGTAGCTGCGACTATAGGTGCATAGCCACCATGCCTGGCTAATTTTTCTATTTTTTGTAGAGATGGGGTCTTGTTATGTTGCCCAGGTTGAATCAAACTTCTGGCCTCAAGTGATCATCCTGCCTCAGCCTCCCAAAGTGCTAGGATTACAGGCCACCACACCCAGCTTGTTGTTGTTGTTTTTGGTTTTAGTGACAGGGTCTCACTCTGTCACCCAGGCTGGAGTGCAGTGGGACGATCATAGCTCAATGAAGCCTCAAAGTCCTGGGCTCAAGGGATCCTCCTGCCTCAGTATTCCAAGTAGCTAGGCCACAGGTACACACCACCACATGTGGCTAGGTTTTTTTTTTTTTTTGTAGAGACAGGGTCTTGCTGTGTTGCCCAGACTGTTATCAAACTCCTGGCCTCAAGTGATCCTGCCTTGGCCTCTCAAAATGCTGGGATTATGGGCATGAGCCACCACATCTGGCCTTACATGGCTTTAAATGGTTCTTATACATGAAGAAATTTTCATCTATAATGTAAATATTCTCTTGTATTACCTTTAAAGACAATATTTTGTGCTCTGGCTCTTTATTTGGCCATTCTTATAGTATAAGAATGTGAATCAAAGAATCTCATTCTCCAAAATATTTCCAGCTAGTGTATTTTAAATACAACTAAATCACACGTGTACTAAAACTTACCGCTTGCTAGCTTTCTTTTGTCTGAGATAATACCAATATTATGGGCTAATGATTGGGCAAGTGTAACTGCCATTAAATCAGTTTTCCCAAACTGAAAAACAGAAAGAAAATATATGTAAATGCAAATTGTATTTCACTTAAGATGTGCCAGAGAAAAATGTCACGATATAATTGAAAACAAGAAATTTCTGAACATTTTCTTTAGCATAGGCTAAACATACTGTAGCTAGCGCTGAACATGCAATTAGGAAGAAGTAGTAAGAAATAAACCCATGTTTCATTAAGCCTTACAGGGAAGACCAGAAGACAGTGAATCGTCAACTTTTGGGTTTGGTAACTTAAATCTAATTCTGAGTCCAAATTTCACCAGTGACATTCCTGAAAATCTTAACTCTTATATATGATTAAAACATTTTTCTAGTTATACAAAATAAAAATAAATGTGTAAAAATTATTTGCAACTTATTCATCTTTATGTGTCTACTTGCACTCCTGAAATTCCCTTCAAATGGAATAGAATGTGGCTTCAAAAACCAATGGAATGAGTAACAGCAAGTAGTGATGACCTTTGGCCAAAAGAAACAAGAACTGAGGACATTTGTTTCAATATGCAGCCTTCCAAAGATTCAAGTATTTTCTTTTAGATCACTTCCATCAGGTTTAGTGCATTAGGAGTAAAAGGAATCCTTTGAAAAACTCACGCTATTTATCCCTCCCCCAAAATTTGTCAAATATTGAGGAAAGAAGAAAATATCCAACTGGGTTGTAAGGTGACAACCCAGTGCTTCAGGGAATTACTCAATTCTCTGGGAAATCATTCAAAGTAATAAATAGGGTCTATTTTCAATGAAGGTGAAGATTCTGTCTATATAATCTGTAAATAGCTTAATCTGGAAATCATTCTAAGTAGAATATGAACAGAATTATCTTCCACTATTTCCCTATTGTGTCTTCTGGTCACTTACAGTATTAATAACTATGTTGATTGCTAATATAACAACCTAATATCTGGAGTTATTAGGAAAACATTTTCAGCCATCATACCACTTGGTATTGTACAGATGTTCACACCTACTTCATTCACGCCTCCTCCTTTCAGCAACGAGCAAATCCCACCAATATAAGCTGCCCCGCTCCGGCTACTCTCAAATTGACTTCCCCTTTTAGAAAAGGAAATGAAAAATGCTTACTGCTCACAGCTCAAACATCATAGCACCTGTCATTATTAATATACCACATTTATTTTTTCAATGTACATAAAATTTCCATACACTACATTCGTGGAGTAAGGGAAGAATGTGAAAATTGTTTCCACACATAACCAAAGAAAAGGGTTTCTGAGGGATGTTTTCCCACATAGTAAATAGTTTAAATTGAAGTATACTCATTAAAAAAGAATTGCTGACATGATATACTCTGAGAAAGAGACAAAAATCACTTTTATGGTATCAAAAATACATAACTTGAATCTCATAATGAGAATACATCAAACATTCCAACAATGAGGGGCAGTCTATAAAATAACTGGCCTATACTGTTTAAACATGTTAAGCTCAAAATAGACAAAGTCTGAGGAAATCTTTTAGATTAAGGGAGACGAAAGAGACATGATGATTAAATGCCGTGTGCGATCCTCAGCTAGATCCCGGATGGGGGAAAATTAGCTATAAAAGATAACTGGTGAAATTAGAATATAGACTGTGAATGACGTTAAAGTATTGTGTTGATTTTAAATTTTCTGGTTTTAATAATTTACTGTGGTTAAACAAGAGAATCCCTTTATTCTTAGAAAATACACACTGAAGTATTCAGCAGTAAATGCCCAGTAAGTAAGTGTCTTCAACTTACCCTCAAAAGGTTCAGGAAAAAAAAAAAAAAA